TTCTTGAACCCGCACGAGCGAGAGTGCTAATCCATTAACAATCATAGTAATATGGGTGCGCGCAAAAGCTCTCTTTTCTCTTTAAATCATTTGCACCCATGGAATGAAATAAAGGGTGACATAAGGTTGCTCATATTAGAGTCATTTAACTAACTATCTTGGTCCTTGAAAATTTAAGTGTGATGACTATTTTTGGTAGCAATCCGTACCAGTATTCATAATAGGTCCCTAAGGTACTAAGCCCTTTATGCCTAGGTGTCGGCAAAACAGTTCTTTTAACTTTGTGGAAGGCTGATCAAGTGAAATTAACAGTAAAAGTATTTATGACATCGTGTTGTTACCGGATGCACTTTATGTCTATCTGAATGCTGGCCGAAATTGTGATACGGACATTATTAGCGGTTTCGACCAACGCTGATGTAATTGAAAGTTAAAACTGGCACAATCCTGTGAAAATCCGACTGCTTAGTTAAAACAAAGTACTGTGAAGTAATTAGAGCATAGAAAATATTGCTCTTTAGCATCTGACTGTAACTATTGTGCGTATTCTTGTGCGGGAAACAATTAAATTATAGCAGGATAAAGACTACTTTTTGTCATTTCTCATATCCTTTGTACCGTATCGATGCTACTGTTGCGTTTCCCCCTCCATTCCGCCGCACGAAACGGTTTCACCTCTTTACCTACGATCCTTCTTCTCCCGAAAGGCGGCACGATCGTTGCCATTTAGCGAGCCGGCCGCACTCATGACTTTCACTAGATCTAATCATCCTTCAAGGTTTTATCGGAACAAAACTGGCAGAGTTTTAAGCTTGTCAATCCCAGAAAAGGCGGTGTACCCAATCACCTTAAGGCAGGAGCGGGCTCACGTCTGTCCTCAAAAAGAGGTTTATAATTCATTTTAGAGACCATTCCAGTTGACGGGATAAGAAACTTAATTTGTTTCAGTGACAACGAGGCACAATTAGCTCCACAGAGACAACAATGTAGCAAAAAAATAGCTTAAGAATTTCTCGAAGTAATTGCGATATCGTTATCAGGAACGATGATAGGTTGCCGCCCCCAAATCGAGCTCTGTATTTAAGACTCGTGCGTTCGAGCAAACATGGATGGGACTTATAATCATTTGGTTAACAAAACGTCAAGTTAACTACTAAGTAGTAACTAGTAAGAAAGCTGTATACAAAAAATAGTTTTCTTTGTATACAGCTTTGTATACAATACGTTTCTTTTTTTCTATTTTGGGCCAACAATAAAAAAGCTTGCTAAATAATTAATAAGTCGCATGACAGTATTGTTTTCGAACTTCTGCATGTATGCACGGTTTGCTATATCCGTTGAGAGACAGACCAACCAATGATTGTACCCCATGGTGACTCAAACAATTGTGCTTGCCCCATATCTCATTGGGGTAAGGCACATCTCACGTCACGAACATCAGCCGCCTGCGAACTGCAACAGCTTGCGATGCGACGGAGAAATCTGGCTTCGCGGAATTTCTACGAGCACACACACTACTTTCACTTTGCCCCACTCTCAAACCCTTTGCTGGAACCGACAGATCCACGTATGAGGCGATCGTAAAGGGGGTATTTCTATTTTCTAACAAACGGAAATGTAACGTCGAGGGTAGAAAGAAGGAGGTGACTGGTCAGACCGTTGAACGAAAACAATTTGGGTTGTCCCGAAGCCATGGTGTTCAGGCTCAAATTGTTCGCTAGGTCGTGTACGACCATTCGCTTCTGAAAGGAATCGACGAACCAGCTGTGTTAAGGCTCATCAAAGAGAAAGAATTGCCGCTTGTTTAAAGTTGCCTCGAAATGCTAAAAATTAGTTTCGATTTGTTTGGCATACCCCTCACCTACACTAGTGTGTTTTCAAGGGACAAATGTTTGTTAATGCAAACATCTTGTAGTGCACATTTTATACTTTCTTTCATGTTCATATATACACATATTCGCTTCAAAAAATTCACAGAGTTTATACAGTAATTAAATCACAAAAAAACAGTAACATATATTCAAATATACCAGAGTCCCTCTGATATCAGACCTCTTCTCTGATGCTTATTATTATTGAATTTAAAAAATATTATGTATAAACTGCTAACAGCAAACCGACCAAGATATCTATCAACGAAAATCAAAGAGAAGTAGAGAGCCTATTGTTACTGACTTGCCCGTGATAATTTTCACTTGTTTTTTTTCTCTTTAGCGTGTTATTCGTGTTTTCTTGTTTTATAAAATTTCTATAGAAATTAATCTCTGAACTTCGACTTGAAAAGCGCAAGTTACTATTAGTTCGACAATGCTAATTTTGTGATCTGAGCCAATAGAACTGTATTATCAATCATTATCAATCATATAGATTATTATCAATAAGAAAAATGAAACACCTTCATTAGCTACCGTCATACTGATCGATGTCTTAAGTAACAATGATGACGAAACAAACTATTCGATTTACTTGGCTGAATAAATTAAGGCGAACTTAAGGCTATGCGAGGGATATCCGAACCCCCTTCGAGATCGACGAAGTTCTCAACATTATCGGTATTATTGTTAGATTAGTGGTAAATTAATTGTATATTAGCGCGCCAATTTTCGAAAGTCCCTTTCGTTTCCTAACGTTCTCCATTGTAATTGTTTCATTATCGAATAGATCATTTGTTCGTTACAGATTTTTGTGAAACGCGTTTAGGATTCATCTAGCAATGGGTGCAGCCATAAAGACTAATTATTCCACATAATAGAGGCCCTAGCCGGTGCTCATACTTTGCAAGACCAGCGATCACTTGTGTCACTTCTAAAGAGGATGAGCCATTAAAAGAACGGAACAAATGGGAAAAACCGAGATCGAGTAAAAAGATTCGAAGAAGGCACGTGTGTATTTATCCTAATGAAATGGCCAAGACGACATAAGTCCGACAATTTCTTGCCCATTGTAACAGTAATTATCAATACATTATAACACTAAATCAACTGTTCGTTTATTTGTCCTATACACTCGTCCTCTTCATAAACGTGTATTGATTATCGATTCCGAAGTTACCGTATTTCTTCCAGGTCTCAAATACCTAGGCCCCATCCTAGAGGGCGTGTACGTAATGAAGTGACGAAAATGAAGATGAAAACATCTGTGTGCAAATTTACTTCATACTCATAGAGTGTATACCACCACTTGAACGAATATCGGAACTAACGTTGTCATACCACTGAGCTATAAAATTGGAGCGCTAAAAGTGGGCACAAAATCAACCTGATGCTTTCAACTAGTTGCCGCTCTATATTGTTGGCATGTTTGGAGCCCATAGGGCAATGGGAAGTAAATCAATTACATTAAACTTACTTTGCGTACTACATAGCAATATATTACTCTTAGTCTACGTGAGAAATAAATCATTTAATAGATGCGTAATAGCAGCGAGGGCAATTTGCCGACTGAAGCTATGTTACTTTGACAAAAAATAAGGATATCGCAACAATTAAGGAAGCTCAAAACGTTCATTTATCTGTGTACGTGGTGTTTGTATATGGCTCTGTCCATATATGTAGAGAACTCTTTTTAAAAAAAAGATATACGCCGTTTTCTTATTTAGTAGCGCCTGTGAGCTCTATAGAAAGCTTTCCGCCCTTATGTAATATTTTTATTTTTCTCTGTGGTCCACATTTATGGTAGGACCGTACGTTCCCGCTCAGTGCGCCGATCTTTTCGACGTTCTCGCAAACGGATGGTTGTTGATGTTTTCAAGAGGTGACGTTTTTAGTCTGGTGCCGGCTGTGTGGCTTTCCATTAGCACGGCTCTCTCCGCTTTTTTTTTAGACCAAATGAGTACATAGTCTCCCTTTTTCACGCAGGGTGGCCCTGTCAGGTCCCACTCGTCCTGTTTCAGCACTGCCACAGGGAGGCGTATAGTCGACGTTTGGGTCTGCTATACCATCACGACCTGCATCGTACTCTCAGGAAACTGCAGAATCGGTCCAAACAGAGGGTGCACTATTGCAAAGTTCTGTACGTTCTTGGACGTTATCATACCGTTGGGCGCAGTGGACAGACGCCGGCTAGACGTCGCCAGTTAACGTCAACCTCCCAGCACGGGCCGGCAACGACAAAGCGAAGAATTCGAAAAGAATCAAGACTAAGCGGCTTTAGCTACTAAAATGGAAACCGCTTACCGAAACCAACTTAAAAACAACGGACAGCTGGAAAAGACAGACGATAGAAATAGCATCGTTACAGCCTTTCGTAGCAGTAGCGCCAAGCAAGATGAAAACGAACGAGAAGATTCGTCTGTCTCATCCATTCTCGAGAGGCTGCAAGTACGCACACCTACTAGAACCATAGCATATAATGCAACGGCAATCGCTTAAGCCTAGTAGCGAAAACTTGATTAAAACAACAAAGCATGTTTGGCTCGAAATTTAGCTTCAAGATCGTATATATATGTATCTTAGAAGCCAAACAGTAGTCTTTAGTAAGGTTTGCGGACGAAGTATCCTGCGACTGCTTTGCCAGCAGATAATAATAAGTGCTGAAAAAGTATAGATACTTTTGGCAACGACAAGTGCATTTGCCATACGTTGGTCCATTTTTACAAAGTTAAACAGGCAGTCCTCGCAGTTAAACAACTGCGGGGACTGCCTGGATTACGTGCGAACTATACAGGAACGGTTCTATGGTACTACTTTAAATAGAGTGAAGAATAGCATCTCTTCATCATCTCGAGCCGCTTTCGAAGAAAAATTGCTTTATGTTTAAGCTTACCGTACGCGAAATAAATGCGGTCAAATGCTATCTGCACCTAGTTGACCAAAAAATTAATGCACGTCCTTTTTGTACAAAATATGCTTCTCTCAAAATCTGACGTCGAGGTAAAATTACCAAATCAAGACAAGTCCTCTGCAATGCGGCAAGTTCCCTGAACCTACTACGGTGTGTAACGTATCAAACAAACAATCCGAAGTAATCAAGAGTGAACTACAAGTGTTTCGTTTCTTGCATTGTATAAACTATTATCTTTATTATTAAAATGTATCAAAATTCCCCCTTCGACCAGATGGCTTTGATCCTTTGTTGGGTGCGCCACTCATTAACGTAGGTTCTTGTAGGCCTCGCCCGGAGAATGGTCGTGCATTCTAAATGCGGGTTAGGTACAGATCGGTGAACACATCAGCCAACCAGTTGCCTTCTTTAACAAGTGGCCGCGCGTACATGGAGTAGTATACATAATGCTGTCTCTGCACCATGTTCACGCACGTTTTCCGACAACAACGAACACGTCCTGGATGGTCGAGTAAAAAGGCAAAAGGTTAGGAATAATTTCGTTATGTTAACCGTATTGTAAGCCGGCTTTGGAACGTGTCTCGGTTGCCCCAAGTTGCGTTTAGCGAGCGAGTATAATGCCTTGTATGCTTACCAAACAGTTTCTTTTTGGTTACATTTTTTAATTGGGATGCCCGAGGGTCATCGCATAGCTGGAGGTGGCTTTGATAGACTTTTTCCGAAAAACTAATGGATCCTGTTAAGCGCCTATCATCTACGTCAAATAAAGTACTATTAACTTCAATTTAGGATTTCCTGCTTGAATATTCCGCTCTGATGAAATGCCTACCGGCGATCCCGAACGTTAAACTCGAAACATAGGGGCTTTCCTGTTAATAGATAGGTACGCAATGCGCTATCATGCTCGGTGTATCCGCGCACAGCCAATTTGCTGATACAGAATATAATCGTTGAACATCCGTTTATTGATAATTTCGTTGAATACCTGGAACTTGCTAAGATCCGACTTGATATCTAAGTTAGGTCTAGGTGTTTAAGAGACTGTGGCACCAATATCATAAAAATTGATTCCTACATATTGTTTAGCTATTTCAGATATAATTCCTGAAGCCATTATTGTCTTCAATCACTTGATCAATATAGCACTGCAAAAAGGCTTTTTAATTAAAAATTTTTCGAGTTAGTATAGGTAAACAAACTTTATGCCCTCTATTATAACATACCCAGCCACACATGCATTCAATAATGTTCAACGGTCAAGTTTGGAATTATCGAAGGTAGCCCATTAAAGTTTTCCCTTTACATTTTTTACAAATTTTTTCTAGTGCAGGTACCTAAGTCAGCTTCTCTTGCCTGGAATAGATGACCAACGGCCATGCACCATTGTCACAGTGTTAGTTTGTATTTTAGACGTTAAGTACGTCATATGTAGTTTTTATCGCCGATTGAAATTTTTACGATGAGATCCCCTGTGGCAAGTTTGGGAGGTGCCTGAGTCAGTTAATTAGTAGCCTATTTGCTCTTTAAATTAGCATCTGACGGAGATAGCTTTAGGCGCCTTAATAATCCTTCCCTAACGCTTCCAGTTTATGATACAGGTTGTCATTTGGCGGTAGTAGGTGAGGTAGCTATCGCTGTTTACTATAGTCACCCGTGAAGTGAGTGAAGATAGGTTAGTGAGAACTCGATGCCAAAATGAAAAAAACTTCAGTTAAAAGAACTCACCAGAATAATAGAGAATTATATAGATCCAATATCAGACGATTGCACATCCTGGCGGCTTGTCGCCCTCTGCTGCGACGTTATTTTCTTTCACTTCCTGATCCTCCTCACCATTCTCCTATGTCCAGCATAAAATGTTCAGAGATTGTAAGAAAAACAGTCTTCGAATGTTCAAAGCTTTCCGTTATTAATCGTTCTTTATCTGATAAGCAACTGTAAGAAAGATTTGGACTATACATCTCGTGGCGCCCCAGACATCGGATTATGAAAAGTTGCAGATGTTTTGTGCGGGCAAAATTCATATTCTAGAAATTCTATTGTTTTGCAACATATAGATTGTTTTTTTATGATGCTACTTCGCAGGCCACAAAGCGACTACAGGAAGTCTAACGAGATTCGTTAAGTGTATCACCTGTGGTATAACATTTATGCACCTAGCAGATGTTTAGCAGTGAATTAGAAATTACAACAAGCAACAATAGGCTCAAATTATATTTAAAAGCCTATATATAAAAAAAATCAGGGTCATATATGAGCCCCATAATACTTGTTATCGTTAAGAACCTTTCGTTAAAAATGTTTTTTTTTTTTTGTAGGATAAGCCACCACATGTCATTAACCCGTTTTTGAGGGAAAAATCGAATTTTCCTATATTCCGGCTGCTGTTCGGCCGATTAATTCGCTAAAGTGTACCGTATCTACTACTGGGTGTCGTTCGTGAGCTTTTGTCTTTGAAGCTGGTGTTATGCTACAGACTTCCGCGCATCGGAGCCCCACAAAACCGAAGTGAAAGGCATAAAAAAACGAGCCACTAATCGAGCAAAGTGCCAAATGTGCATCAATGTCAAGCTGCAGTGCTGGCAAACCCTAACTCTCACTGAAAATGGCCACCACCGGTAACGCAGATGCAACTGCTTTTAGCGGACTTTTTTTGATCGGGATAGATTGCATTCGTGGCTCAGCGGAAGCTTTCAGATGGAAACTGAGTTACGTGAAATTTAATGGCGGCCTGCCTTTCCTTGCGCAGCAATTATGTGCAGCTGAGTAAACAGGTTAAAAACAATGGCGGTAAAGCTGACGGTGACCATCTCCAGGGAAACCCAACTCCAGAAGAAGGTCAGTTCGAAGGGTGTGTTAAACTCCGGTGATTACTAAGAGCCACCATTTTTCAGGTTTTTTTGTTTGGAATGGACATTGGAATGGAGGTCGTCAATGGTTGCTAGGACAGTTTCGTCGCGTGCATCTTTTGTCTCATACCTCCATGGTTTAGCTATTTTTTAACAATTAAAATGTAATACAATCAAAATGTCTACAACTACCTCAACATAGTTGACAATGATTAATAGTAACTGGAATATTTACTAGCGTTTACATACTTGTACTCGTGAATTCTGGATCTCCTCTGAAGGTACCTGGGCCTGTAATGCAATTCAATGAATGTTTCGTCCATATGTTTCGGATATATTTTTACGATGTCTTTAATGATCTGCTAGTTTCCATATACTTGAATGGTTGATAGCTTGTAACGTTAAACAAATGACATTGACGGTATTACACGAAGCTAATTCTGTGGCTTACCAAAAAAACACCCAAGCCCCATTGAGGACTGCTCGAGTTGGGCTTGCCTGTCTACACGCAACTGCTTCTTCTGAACAATTTTACTACATGAATTTTAGCCTTATATATTATTTTACAATCGATCCATTTTAAGAAAAAGGTTAACCTGTACAGATCACGCTAAAAAGTCAGTTGCAAAACCATCGAGCGCCCTTCCTACACAAATGGTAAATACCCAAGTTGTTCGGTGGAAAGCTAAAAGGACCAACCTCTTTGGCATCAATAAGGCCATCTAGAGCATTAATAAAAGGAAGCCATGTTCGTTATCGTGTACTTACGATTTTCGATATCGTGGCAATTTTGGGTTCGAGCGAAAATTTCTGAAACAATCATATTTTTTTTCTCGTTATTCCATATATATGTTATTATGCTTGCTTCTGAAAGTCTATTGCTTTGTCTTCTCGTGGTACTAATAGTAACCTCTGCGTATACGTATTATTGTTTTATTTAACTTGAATAGGGCGCAGACCCCATGGACGTTTTCTTTTGTGTTAAAAAAACGGTACGGCATTTTTAATTATTGGGACGTTATGTTTTAAACGTAGCAAACAGTATTCCCGTTATGTCGGGATAATTTTTCTATTTCACGAACCATCTTCCCACTTTGTCGTATTTAGATGTAGTATATCAAATCTAAGATTATTTATCCGGATATCATCACTCGACCTTTTAGCAGGCGAGTTGATGCAAAATAGAAATATTCAATTGGTCTTTGAATGTGGATTCTATCTTGAAAAGCACAACGGCGGAGATAGCTCACCGTATAAACTTTCCCGTTAAGTTTCTCTTTTAATTATAATTGAAAACATAGTGAGCTCTTCGTTCAAAAGACTCCAGCAAAGCAGTCTCCCGTTAAGGCGAATAGCGAGGAGCTATGACGGATTGAAGATGGAATGGAACCAAACCCATCTCAGTATGTGTAGGGTACGTGTAGCGGGGGGGGGGGGGGGTAGTAGGTGAATGTAACAACAGTGATCGATTCTCCTTATATATATATATATATATATATATATATATGACAGCGGATCCTGACTTGTTAGTAAAAATGAATTTCCTAGATGGTCACGTCAGCGAGTTGAAGCAACTGAATTGGCGAGACATCATTAAAAAGCAAACGTGTATCCGTGAAGGTACACATAATAAAAGAAACAGCTGTCATCCGCAACAGCTTCGAAAGCTCTGGTCCGTCGATTACAGCTGAAGTAAACATTTAGAGGAGATAGATAATGAAAAATATTGCAGTGAAAAACACCATAAAAATCGTAAAAACTCATAGCTGAAGGTTCCCTATCGTCTACCAAGCTCGCTCCACAAACATTTATTAATAAAACTCTTAGAGCCATAAGACAATCAAGATTTTTTTCCAAAACTATACATTATTTTAGCCTAGATCTCTGCAGCAGCGGAATAACAAGTTATTATCCATATATAACCGAAGAACTGAGTATTTTTACAGATTTTAGGCTTTCAATTACCGAAACAATGAACTTTTGCCGCCGCAAAGCATTGTTTATTTAGGCATATGCATCGCTCCGTTAATAATGAATGGCTATTATACCTATTTTTTTCTTTTCGATACAAGAATTTGTAAGTTAGTTTCAAGGCTTCAAAACTAACGGGTAATACAGGAAAACAGTAATACACAATACTGGTAACGCAACTACTTGGGCATACCTCTACTGAGACGTTCCTGAAACGTCGATGAAATTTTCTTCGAACCGAAAAAAAAGTGAGGCAATATTTTATACTTACGACTTTGGGGGGTGACTTCCCTGCGGGTGAAACCACCTAAAATGAACCCGTCAAATAGTCCTATTTTAGGAAGATCACATTGACATAAGCATTTATGGACAAATAATGAAGAGTCGAAAAAGGTAATCTATTAATTAATAACGTCATCTGCTCTACTTACATACTTTACGACTGGATGAGCTAAAGGTACAGGTGAGATTCTCTGAAACTATCATAAAAATAAGGTTATTTCCTATTGATATATTAGATCGTAGATTTTTCTTGACGGAGAATGCAAGTAACTTTGCTCTTTCTTAAGAAAATTTAAATTAACTTACGGCCTTTGCGGGCATGGACTTCGGAGTAGGTGGGGCCTTCTGGAATGATTATATGGAAGCGGATTTTTACATATACATTTTCGTAAGATTTGTCATTATAACGTTAGAAGTACTACGCGAGTCACATCGACTCGTGTTTTCAAGTCGAAGAGTTGTTTGCACAAAAGAGGATTGCATAAAAGTTTGACTTTTAGGTTGCCCCACTTTCAATTGTTTTCCGTTCCATACAAAATGACATAGGAAGGAGAACTAACGTTTTTTTTGCAACTTACCAACTTTATGTGGGAAGGAGTCGTAGGCTCAGGCGAAATGCTCTGAAATGATCGTATCGAAGCTGGTTATTGAAGCAATAGGCAACTGCTTTTCGTCTTTAACAGTTCCCGCAGAATTTGGTTTTCGCCAAACGACGACGTGAATCCGAATCCGAATTCGAATGCCGTTTGTTAAATTACAGGGGACCTTATAAACGATAGGGGGGCGAAGTGTGCATAATAAAGCTAAACATTGTGCATGTTTAATATCTAGTCCGCGCTGTGCATGAGAGGTTAAAGTAGTGTCCTTATGCATTTGACTTAAAAACGATTTTGTATCTTTAGGCAAAAAATCCGCGCCATCTACTACATAAAATCCAACGGTGTGGAGTTCGCAAGCAGTACATTATTAGTAATCAGACAGTGCAATATATGGCTTTATTTAGAACAGTTTTGTCATTTGTTGCCTATTAACTCATGCTGTACAGCTAAAATTACAGGTCTATGTTTAAATATCAAGCTACTAAAGAGCACCGACCAAGAAATACAGCCTAAATAAACAATGAAAAGGGATTTTACTCCTGTGGTGAGGGTCACCATGAATTTACTTTAGTTATTCATGGTGACCGATTCGATGTGTAAACCAGTTGATTATAAATAGGAACTAATGCTTTTAGCAGGCTTATACCTAAAATGCCTGCTTAGTTTGACCCTGTTCATACGCCTTATACGTTAGCGTATCGCGATTATTATTATTACTTCCTTTTACATATTCAATATTAACAAGTCGAACCAGCATGTTTATATAGGGACTACATAGAGCCGTACGGCTCTATGTAGTGTATATATATATAATAAGTGGCCGAGTTGATCATGGAATAGTTGTACTTGAGTCCGTTTCAGCCGGGCCTCTAACTTGCTGAGGTTTCAAATAGCTTTGTTGAACGAGCTTTTTTTTTTCCAACTGACCCTTAATAATTCCTATTACGGGTAAATTTTGCTACGTCAGTGTCTGACATTTTTGAAACTTCCTTGCTTAATACAGCGCTTTCAAGAACATTAGTCGAACAGTTTTTCCGTTACTCGATAGTGTGGCCGATCCATTAGAGCTTCCTAAAAACAACGGCATTTCACAGCGTATGGCCATATTCTGAGTGATGTCAATCCAACAAAGTTGGCCGAAGTAAAAATTTGTCATTTAGTGAGAAACGGAACGGTAATCTAACACTATATGACTGAGAAAAGACACCTTTGCATGGACCTCGCGTACCCTAGATTCTGCGTACTCTGTCCGGAGCGACGACAAATTAGAGCCATAGGATCATACCGTTAACTTCACAGTAGCTACATAGGTCACAATGCGAGCGCTCACCTTATAGGATACACCGCACCTAAACCCTCTACTCTTCTGTGGAAGATTTGTTTGACTGCCACGAATTCTACTTACATGAGATCCTCTAACTTGACTTTATATATTAGTTTACTGGCCACTACTCGAAATCATTCAAAAATCTCAATAACTACCAATTTAAAGCTCCTAAGGTCTTGATCGAGAACGTTTCTGGAGGAACCGATTTTCAGTTGAATATCCGTTGCTCCTCTAACTCTGCGTGTGACATAAAAAGAGACACGGGAAAGAGTGTCACATAACCAAATCTTATGCTTCCTATAAACTGACGTTTAAGCGTTGTTTGTTTGTACTACCATCTAATGTCTAATGATCAGTAAGTATTAGTTCCGAGCTTACCTTTCTTATCTCTTTAGCCCGATACGCTGCCATCTGCGGAATGTTATTTATATTTAGTGTTATTAGCACGTACACCTTAATGGGCAGGTCTACCAATACGATATCATATTGATATACGTGCCTTGCGAGATTGAACCGTAGTTGTCGGAGCTACCTTCGCCACCCCGCTGTACCTCTGAGCTATACCTGTTTTGCGTACTGATCAATTGTCCAGTAAAACCCTACGTAGTCAAAAGCAGTCTTATGCCAAAAGTTTCAGCTTAGCATATATCGATCAGTTGCACCTTGTAGCATTTAGTTGTAACTTAAGGTTTTAGCTACATATACTCGTTCTCGTCCTAAGCTGTCTAACTTTAGTAGCTAACATGAGTAACGGTGATTATACTCAGCCGTTACTTATTGAAACACTTATTATTTTGATCAGCCCGAAGCTACAAAAGGAAAAACGAATAAACAAGGAATGCTTTATTTACTATAATTATATTTAGCGATGCGGCAAATATAGAGAGGTTCATGACTAATCGAAAATTGGGATCATTCAAATCAAAGGAAAGTAGCGTATACGCTTCTTTGGCCTCACGTATTTTGTGACTCGTCATGAAGCCTTAGAGGTCAGTTACTCCCTATACACTATGCACGCATTACATTGATAAGAGCCGCAGATTTCAGCGTGGGTTCGGCATGACTACGTTCAGGGTTCCTCACCTGAATGCTTCCTTTTAATTCAGATCAGCACGACATTTCAATCAAATGACTTACTGATTTAGAAGGCTCTGCGGTGACTTTTGGCACTGGTACCTGTAAACAATGTGTAAAGAAATCTATTCAGTTTCTTCGATTTCTGCTTATGAAATTGTATCGGTACCCGTTTCACTCCTTGCCAACATGGAGTGACATCTGACAGCAGAGTTATTAGCGGTGTGTTACCTTTTCTTTATCATTGCCTATTTTTTTTTTTATATTCTGCTAAAAGTAAGTTGGCTGCCATCTGTATGATTGATCTGCTTTTTGCAATGCATTCTCTGTTGTTCACTTGGTACCGCTAATGATTTGGCAGTAGCGTACGATCTTACGGGGTAACGTAACTTAATTGACGAGCCCGAAGCTGTTTGCAAAAAATTGCTGGTTTAAAGTCTGCTGTACGCTCCGTTCTTATGAAATTCACTAGCTGTGTTTTGTACGTTGAGTTAGCACACAGTTGGCATGTGCTTAACCACACGAGAAGGAAATGGACGACAAAAAAAAAAGGAAAATATTCCCAAACCTAACAGTGTAATATTGAACAACAGAGATCAGTATCCATGGGTTCATTTGACAAATTGGCAGGTCCAGCCTTATCTGCGTTAAAATATCAATAAACATCAATAAAATATCAAAAATATAACAGAATAAACGTTTATCGAAAAATCTATTTTGAGAATTTTGGTTGTATATTACCTTTTAATAACCGATTATTTACTCGTCTTTAAAGTTCGATGCCAACTAACTTTTTGACCACTTCAGATGTTACCATGAACTATTGGTAAATCTTCCTATTTAGGTCTCCCGACAGGTTTTTGCGCCACCTCGATGAAACAAACTATCGCCAATTTACAGATACTATACAAGATGATATAGATCAACTGGTCTTCATTGCAGACAACCAGGTTGTACCTCTAAACGTAGTTCGTTAACTTCATCATCACAATTTTGCTTGACGGTGGGCATATCACAACTGTAGTTTTTCAATATGGCTGAAAGGCACGTTGAAAACCTTCAAGTCGTTTTTGCACGCTTCTATATTTGCGAATCCCTGAGGCTAACTAGCGAACCAAATTACACGACTGTATATTTGCTACGGTGGCATGAAACTTCCTGTCCCTGGATCGCTACTTGTTCTAGTAACTATTTCGATTCAAATCTGCGTATTACCTGATCTTAAGGTTTCATCAACAAACAGTTAAGGCTAGCATCTTTCCACTCACCAGCCTTGAGTCAGGGCCGGATACCTTAGGTGCAGCCATCTGAAGTAAATATACGAATAGTTTATTACTTTGCTTGCAATTTATTCGAAGTGGCTTTTTAGGCAGGCCCAGAGCTGCCTGAACATAGCTAAACTGAAGCACAATTGAAAATATGAGGAAACTGAGTTCAAGCTCGCACGTGCTCAATTTCCTCACAAATAAATTAATGCATTATTATTATTATTATTATTATGCATTGAAAGGTATGTTTGCCTACAGCATACAAAACGGGCATTTGCCATTCAACAAACAAGGAACCCCGATAAACCAAGCATTGTACTGATTCTCCGGTAACAATGGGACAAACTTTGCTTTGGGAAAATTGCTAGTTTGGCTGAAGGTTCAAAACAATTGGCCTGCTTGGTACTTTTTGCTAAGCGATAACTGAATTTTGAGCCAGAGTCTTGTTTATACGTATAAAAAAAGGTGCATTTAGGAAATCAGACATTCATCGCAGAGCTTAACTGCCTCTATATCCGGCGTCCCGTCTAGACTTATACTGATTCTACAGGACTTCAATGTAATAAAACATCCGCAGATTAGAACATATGCATGATCAATGCTGTTAGTTCATCATTATCTACTTACCAGTCTGGAGCCAGGGACAGATCGCTTTTGAGATACAGCCCTCTGAAACACAGTTCCCCAAATGTATTTATGGTGCGTATTGCTTATTAGGTATCTCATATTCTGTCATATCTGCGTCATATTATAAAGCTGCCAACTAACAAAATAAAAGTATTTGAGCTAAAAAAAAAAAAAAAAAAAAAAAAAAGGCTTGGTATCATCCTATTTAGCCTTTAGTTGAGACAAGTTATTTCCCGAAGTGAGAATTTGTTGCCGCATGTTCCTAAATGTCACCCTAGATTTTGCTCGAAAATAATATGTCAGCACTTCAGACAATCGGAGATCTCCGATTCTGTGAAGATCATTATTTAATGGTCTATACAAAATTATTTAATTTTGTATAGAACAGAACGAATTAATAATTTTTTCGTGTCCTTTCTTCGTCATTTTCTACAACTGATTTTCCTCTGGTTAGGTCTGATAGTATGTTTTCAAAGTAGTAGAAAATGGAATGGCATCACATTTTTTTGAGTTTTAAATTACGCGCCGGTGGTAGATAAAATTTAGTCGGCGAACGCCTCAGTCTCCGAGTGAAAACCGCTTGAGTTAACGAAAAATAAATTTAGACGGCAAAGGTTTGTTTTCAAATGCTACAACGCTGCGGAAGTCCATCGAAAACTGTCCGAAGGCTTTCGATCGAAAGCAGCAAGGTACGTGAACGGATAGAGGCTGGAGTGTCGAAGATCGGCGACGAGGTGGCCAGATGCATGGACCCAATATGAACGAATCGCCCCAACCCACGATTTAGGTTATGTGGGCCATGTGGGTCAAAATTAGACCTGATTGCTGGAAATATAGAAATTGGGTTAAATATCGGCCCCGTGAATTAACTTGAGGCCAAGTAATGTGTCTGATGTATACCAGATTTAGTTTGCTTAACTCCATTGGAATTGGAGAGACCTAATATCTTTACCACCAGCCGGATAGGACTAAACAAGAGAATGGTGTCCCCCTGGTGAGAGTCGAGTTGGCGGCACTGTGGAGTTAGTTTAGACATGGCAGTTAATACAAATAAGTTCTTATACTGACTATACGTTTTGCAAATATAGATTGACCAAACGGGTTTCGTTAGCGTAGTTGTATGTTTACGAATTCGGTAAAGCCCAGCAAATTTCTGAATTTTTTTTCGATGAAATTCTTGACGACACTTTAAGGATTCGTGATGCCAGTGATAGCAACGTTAGCCGACAAGTTTCTCAAGACACTAGTTAAGTCAATGTATCCATACCAGAAAGTGTTTAACACTAAATGTCAATGATTGTTGTGATCTTTGATTGGAGTAGTCACGTCATCAGTCAAAGCTAAATAATTCTGTGACAAAATGAAAATTACCAGTCTACATCTGCTGTACGATCTGAAAGTGACGTGCATTAATCGCTAATCTATGACAGCTTCTGAACCCGTTCAGTAACAACTTTCCTTAACTAAGTTTTGCATCCAGAACGTTTTTGCGTGATAATTTCTGAAGTCGTTAGATCACAATTTTACATTTCGTACGCACTTTGCCTGAATTTCTGTGCCATGTTTATACCTTTTGAAAAAGGTCGCACAAAATGTACGCTGGCGAGCTACGTAACGAATAGATTTCACCAATTTACGCATTTGGCCTATTTTTTTCTCTGGTAAAGTTAGTCGCGTTTTGTGGAGGGGGACCCCTACCTGCAGCTGGCTAGTTATCGAGCTAGTTACTTAATAGGCCTCGGCCTTTTCGTGCTATTTTGGTGGTTCCCTAAGTACGTCTGAACGTGTCCACACTGTCTTCGTGAGCAAATATTCAATGGCTATATATGCAAGTCACTGCATGATAAGTATATCTGTCGAGTTACTAGTATGTGAATCAGTAAAGTTTGCTAGTAGTAGTTCGATGGATAGTGAAGAGAAAAAGTTGATGTGAAAATATGTTAGAGCCTTCAATTTGAGTATACACAAAAACCACAACGTTATTTATTAGAATCTTGTAGTTTTTAAAATTTACTAAAAGCAATAAAATTTAATCATTTTTAATATCTGAAAATCAGTTAGGTAACTGTTTGCTCGCAGTTTGAGGCTAGTTGTTGAATGGAAGTGATGGTAGGTATGAGAAGGAAGTGGTACAAGCAAACATTAGGGTTGCAAGCTCTGTATCCGATACCGACACCTAGGTTCAAATACTACGATCTCGAAATGACATCATCAAAGTTGACTATTTCGTACATTTTTTCTAATATTATTTCTTGTTTATCGAAACAACTACATGTAGGGACAAATTAAACAAGGAAAACATTTGACAAAACACTACTGTTATTATTAAAAACTCACGAATTTTCCGTCCCGAATCGTTTTGCGTTCCAGCGGTGCCCTTGGAGGCTGAAAATGTCCTCATTACAATCTGTCAGTTTACACATTAGCTAATCAGTAAGCTTGTTTGAAAGCATTGTAATTGGCCTAATGATTTAATTAACTCTAGCCGGTGACTTTGTCAGCAGTGAGCACGGCAAATTTGAATCATTCATCTGAGACAACTTTTGCCCTTGGAACAACTTCCAAGTTCAAGCGATGCTCTGTCTCTCTGAATCACCGCTATTTCGTAGCTATCATGTGCCCAAAAGTAATTTGAAAATCGGTGTGGAACCACTTCCTGTTTGTTAATAATTTTTTACCCAATGTCGCTTGAGAATAATTCTTTGAAATGTAATGAAGAAACAATTGGAATCGTCTACATACTCCTTCTTCCACAACTTTGCGTTCCGGTGACGCCTTCTGAAATCATTATGAGCAGAATCGATCGTGTTGTACATACTAATTTGGACAGCCCTTGGGTTTTCAAAAAATGCCATACGTTCTTAGCAGCGAGCTTACAACATACTAAATCAATTAGCATTATAAACATTTTCGGCTATAACTTAAACAACAACTAAGTTATGAACTTACTTTTGCGCCCACCACTTTGCTCTCTGGTGATGCCTTCTGAAATTGTTTCAGTAAAATCGAAAATTTTCGATAGCTCCACGGCCTTCAAAAAGAACATACGCTCTTAGCACTAAGTTTCCAACTACTTTCCAAAATTAACTAGCATAAATGTCTTCCGCTACAACTGAAAGACTTAAATCGCGGACTTACTTTTATCTCTAGCAGAGTTTTGCGTTCCGGCACGTCGCTCTGAAATCGTTTCAACCGAATCGATAATATTGTGCGCATGTTTGAGGTAGGTCTTCAGTTTTCGAAATAAGGAAAGTTGACATAGAATACTCTGATTTTCTAATCTGGTTCTTGAAATTTTAGGCTGTGACAAATTATGGACTTACAATTATCCCCTGCATTAAGGCTTTATGTTCCGGCAAAAATTTCTGAAACCGTTTCAACACAGTTAATAATTTTGTACATAAATAGGTTAAATATTTTTGACATCTTTGAGACGAACGAAAACTGGCGTACGTTCTTAATGGTGCGTTTCTAACTTGCTTCTCAAAATAAGTTAATGGACATTATAGGCTCTGAGTTAGAGACACTAGCTTATAAACCGTGCCGTCCGGTACGATTTTGTATTCCGGCGATACTCTCCGAAGTCCTCACCAGACTCGGTTATTTCGCACGCATGACTTCTTCAGCTAGCCTATGAATTTTCTTAAAAAAAGGAAAAATCGGTTTAACGATCTTCTTGAAACACTTCAATCAATTATTTAGCCAATAGAGTAATGAACGATTGATAATATATAATAAACAAAAGTACTTACGAATTCCTATATACCGACTTGATCAGATATACTTACGAGTTTTTCATCTAGGATGCTTTTAGGTTCAGGCGATGCTTTCTGAAATAATTCATCACTGGTCATGAAATTCGTCATCTTGCACACATTTTTACATCTATCAATGCGATATAATTACGATCTGCTCTGATCAGCACCTTTTCAAGCTGGCCAATGGAGACAAGAGAGAGTATTTTACGGTTTGCACCGCGAACTATCGTCAACGAACCTCTATGATAACAAATACAAAATAGTTGTTTTTGTAATTGTTTTTACCCAGCTGATGGTTTGTGGAAAAAACGATACAACAAGAAGATTCTAGCTTATTTACGATAACAAATCGCCTTGATGCGGTTCCTTACGGATTGGAAAGGTGAAAGATCTACCGAATTACATGATGAAAAATGGCATCAAAATCAAAAACACACGTCTGTCGACACTTCCTGAATATTATTAACAATAAATTTAAACCAACTTGCGCTGTTTTATCGACAGGCATAACCAAAACGGGCTCAGGCGATGTCTCCTAAAATAAAATAATAGAAATATCTATCAAAACTAGTTCTCTGGCACATTGCATCCATAGAACGGTTTCATTGAATATTTCAGATAAGCAAATCATCATTGGTATATATATTACGAGTCGATATTGAGCCAGTGTCTCAATCTGCTCGCGAAAAGCCCTCGGTTCCCTTAAATAAACTTTACACTGTAACACAACACTTAATGCAGGGTAAGGTTAAATGTATACGTACCGACACTGGCGCATCACGACTTGCGCCCATATTCAGTGATTTCTGTAATAAGTTATTTTAATAATTACTACTTAACTACCTCTATTACGTTCATTGATTTTGATTTGTAATGCTACTTGTGGGTTAAGTGTCTCAGAAAAAGCCTACGATGGATCCATCAAAACTGCTTAGTTTAGGGTCAATATACATATATATGTGTATATAAGCTTGTTCACAACAGAGGCTTCCTTACGCTAGTCATAGTTGCTTAACTATGCAATAGTTTCGCGCTTTTATGGCTTTTCGTTACATTTGTCTCTCCATTTGTTAAAACAGCTTTTACTATCATGGGTTATTACGTTTGCTAGGACTGTTTCTGGACGGGCAACAATCGCCAACTGTAACCAAGCATACGTATCCCATGCCCCTAAAGGCTTGTTGATGCCGTTGATGGGAATCTTGCATAAATTAAAAATGCCTCATTAACATATGAGAAACCAAGAACAGGTGGATCGAGCCAGGTGCCTAACGTTTAGATTTTCGTCTCCGGGGTTTATACGACGAAAAACATGTGATTCCTCGTTGGGCAGTTCTATACGGCCGGGCTTATTTCAAATTAGATTAACGAAAATTTGCTTCGAATTTTAACTGACCCTACCATTGTACGTTGCTTGTGTTACACGCCCTAGACATTTTACCAGCATAAGCATGGCATACATTTTTCAACGATTTCAAGGGTTTTAGGTTTTGTTGGCTTACTGACCTATTGGCAAACGTACAAGTAGAAATATTGCTGTAATTCATCTGTGCTCAACAATATCTAGATTTCGTTTACCTATTTTCGGAGATAAATAAAACATCTACCTCGGAGCAAAAAACGACGAGGAAAATTAAGCTTCTTGGAACCGCCAAATGTCAGTTCGTAATCATAGAACAACCTGAGTCAGCGAAAAGACACGCAGCACTGCTCAGCTCAAGTAGTTATCAATTTATAATTTTAAGAAACTTCATGAGACGCTTCTAGACGCTCCTGTTCAATCCAACTTCATTCATTCATTGAGTTCCCTTGCGAACAAACACGAACAGCAGGGTCACTCTTAAGTCGTAAGTGGTCAAGGCCAGATCACTCTTAAGTCGTCGTAATCAAGCAAAACATGTTTCCATCCACTAGCGAAAGCGACAAAGACAATGAATGTCCGTGTTTCGCCTGAATAGGTACAGTTATCTAGTTTCCATGACCCATCATCGAGAACGCAGGACGAAGGGCTCATCTACCACCACTGGACCAACCAGCAACTCTTTACACATGAGGGCATGTCCCACACTTGGATTGGCAGCTTGCAACGCATTCATCGCTGACTAAGACAGGTTGGGTGTAAATAGGGAAGTAAACTCGTGATATTTTTGCACCAGAGCTACTTACTTCGCTGAATACTTAGCCAAAGGAAGTAAATTGCAAGTTCTCAAGATCGCTAGTTAGCTTGTTTGAAATCTCAATTTACCAGTAATTTTCAGGCATTAGGGGCTGAGGCTTAATCAAACGTGTGTCGAACCATATCATACTGGGAGATCTTGACACACTAATCGGATGCTAGCAGACAAATTGGATGTAAAATAGTTCATCGCCTTCGTAAACCCTGTTACAGAAACAACCCGGTAATATAGGCCTTTGTTGCGATTTTAGGCAAGTGTAGAGATTTTAAATTAAAGGCGATGCCCCAGAAACATCTGTATTACCGGGAAATTCGCCCTGTTTAGAGTATATTTATTGATGTTACTACTGGGAAATATTTCGTTATTAAGTTTAGGCGTCCTATGTATGTCGTTTTTCCAGTGAAATCTTAAAATACTGACACGTTCGGAGCTCCTAGAATACACAGTACGTGAATGTCCTGTTCGCGGTAGGTGCCTCGCTGATAGCAGATGTATGCATATTTCACATCTGCTGCGCAGGCCTCGATTTAGTACGATTTGCAGTCATGTCGTCTTTGAACCTCCTAGCTACCCTGCGTATTCTGGCAGTGTGCTGGCAGCGTTTAAAATGATGTCAGGGAGGATCCTTATGGATACCTAGCTACATCAACCACTGGTGACAGAATCTACATTTGTTTTTCAGGCTACCTGCTGAATGCAGAAATAGATCAAAGTCGTCATTCGATCTCCTACCCAAACGTAGGAGCGTATCACAAAGCATTTAGTCGAAGGAAGCGTAGACTTCGGCAAACTGGTACTAATTTTCGCGAACGATATAATTTGAGACACGAACATGGGTCCCATGGGTATTTGCATTTGCCAGCCATTATTATCAGCACTTAGCCATTATAAAGCTATTATTTAAACATCCGCCCAACAAAAAACTGCGAAATCTGCCCAGTCCTCACGACTGTTACTTGAAACATTAACATCAAAATTAATTTTTCAAATAACTTACATCAAATGAGAAAGCTACCTTTACTCCAAGGGAAAAAATCCACAGCAATAATATACGTCGTACGATCCCAAAAAGATGACGAACTCGTAATTTACTATATACAAAGCGTTTTTACTTCAAACATACTAGCGACGTTTTTTAAATAAAGTTCTGTTGGAACGGAACTTTTACCTTTAGGTAGTTCGAACCCACACGCTGCTTAAAATGAGATAGATAAAACGAGGAATAAAACCCACTTTCAAGTGTATTAAGCTCTTTCTTCTGAAGTAGAGATAAAACCCACTTTCAAGTATATTAAGCTCTTTCTTCTAAAGTAGAGGATTAGCTTTACGCCCAAATCCGTTGAGCTCTAAAATAGTTATACATACCAGATGCCTCAAAGCGATTCGTTCTCTTCTCCGCATCGAAGAGCGATAGCCCTAAATACGAGGAATGGATACATGCTCCTTGAACTCCCATTCACCGCGTAAATCAATTTTTCGAGATATTTCACCCGGCCGATTTCCAGCTTCTACTCCCTACATATTGCATCATTTCAGATCTGAATCATGGGGTATTACTAAGTGGGCTCTCCGAGGGGAAATCCACGGCATACTTGAGCCCTTTTCAGTCTCTAGCCGAAACCTGCGAAGAGTAGGCCCGCATTGCGGACTATCAGCCTTGATAAGAAGTACCATGTTATTTTCCATCGGTTGGTGGCTATTTGGTTCATCAGTGGCATACGAACCCACGACGCCTGCGCCCTTTATGAACAGAGGGACCTGTGAACATGCCGTTTTTTGCAACGGTTATGGTCAGCGCCCGTATTTTGTTGTTATGGTTATCGCCGCTGCAACATGATGCAGGTGCTGTTTTATGCGTGAGAATTGGTACTTTTGTCACACGATCACGATCGTTGCTGCCACCGTATTGGGTCAAAGGAAGAACACAAGGCACTTTTTCCAGCGGGAAATCTCTTGGGCCCTCGGCGCTAATTAAGCCCAAGTCAGCGTTAAATCACTCGGCATCCTTCGAGATGCCTTAAATCAATAAATTTGTCTTTGTGGTTTTCATTTTCAAAAAAGGTCTGATTCGACCTCGTTCGGAGATCGTAGTGGTCGAAATACAATCTGAAAGTGTTTTCGTTACCTGACTGCCTAACTGGCATTGACCTAGTAGAGATCTTCGTGACGTCAGCATTACATTGTCCTGGACCTGTTGATGAACACATCTTCTGCCGACGTGACGACGTGAATTAATGAAAGGAAGGTCATGTTTAACGCGTGACAGGTATAGTTAGCGTACGAAGGCATTAACCAACAAAATCTATTTCATTCAGAAACCAGTTGCTCATGGTACCATCGCCGCAGGCGGGAGGGTATTTGATGTGCGTTAACCCTGTCAGCTGTTGTCTCTATCGAAACCTTTGTTCCTACCCTTTACTCACCGTATATACATTAAGATGAATAGTTGTTTACATAACTACCCGTAAGGACCTGTTTTGCTCAGCCTTGAGATCTTAGGATCCACGTTAAGACCGAAATCTTACCACTAGGCTCGCAGAGCCTTTAGTAGTCAACTGCGACTCCACGTGTGACCGCTAGCAAAACTTCGATTTCTAATGTTTCCTCAATTTATGTAGTAATCCAGGTCCGGTTTTTCGGGAATAGTAGAAATATGTGTGACACTATTGTTTCTGCTCACTTTTGGATCGAATGCGTAAGCAAGTATGCTTACACAGATATGGCTGAATATTCTCTCTGCGAGTCGTCGTATTATGTCAGACGAGATGGAAAAAAATGTTTCAGATACTACCGAAGTTGAATACAATTGCTAGCAAAACATTCCCATATATATATATATATATAGGCAGTATGCCATTTTCCTAATAATCAGGAAACCAATCGCAGTTTAGGAGCCCAGTGCCGATGGGCGAACGTGAAAGGAGCAGAAATTTTGCACGATGCTATTTAACATGATACATTCGTATAGTACTATCCTTTAACCTGATCGTCGTGTGTTCGGGAAGGCCTTACGTATAGTTCGGACCTTGCAAGACGTATTCATCACATCCCTTCGATCGCTCCCGGAATTTTCTGCAATCACCCCTTTTTAAAACAGCGTAATCAAAATCTGGATTAAGTTCCACTACGCGGCAGACTAAGCGACTTTTTTATACTTCGTTTTATAACTATTCGCGAAGCGCAGAATTTTCTTTTGGATCTACATAATGAACACTTACGAAACAATCTTCGATTTCTTTTCCACTTCATCCACTTCGTTGAATCGAAACGTTCTAATTGACTCAAAGAATGATAAAGGAAGGCTATACTTTCTCAAGGTGATAAGCTGTTAATGCAGTTCTTGATTTATCATGTTAATTTTTTTGTAGCCTACTGGTTTTTTTGACGCTAACGCTTGGCCATGCAAGACCTTTACATTCGAGCCTTGGAACTCGTTCCAAGTATGACATATTTGCTTTTTAGCTTAAGCGAGCCCTTTGAAGAAATCGCAACAATCTCTATTTGCAAAAACACTTCACAACGAACTGCTGAAGCAGACCAGCGAGCATTTTACCCTGGCCTGCTCTGGAGATTCCGGGTGACCCACCGCACGATGATCGAAAGAAGAGTTTAAAATGCCCCGATTCTATGTTAATTATTGTTCGTGAACCGTGTATTAATTATCCTTTTGGGATCGTACTACGAAAGTAGGTTTGAAGAAAACTCACACACTAAGTATTTTCATACTAGGAACTAAAGGGTAGATAAGAAGATATACCTAAAGAAGGGCTAAGATTAATATTTGGGCTCGGGCTGGCACGACATGAAGAGATGAAGTACACAAAGACAGGTGAAGATTTGCCTTGCTTTAGTACCAGACGAAACAATACAACACAAGTAACTGTGGTAGCCGAATACGTCGACGGTTTAATCGAACCGTTGATATCCTTTGCAATAGTTTTAGACAACGTTTGAGGTCCACTTGCCACGCAGTGTCCATACTGTTTTACATGAGCTAATATTGGAACTACATGGCTTCGTCACACACATGCACTTTCTCGATTGCGGCCCAAACCTTGAACTCCGTTTAACACAACCTATGAAAGAGCCATCTCAGTGTAGCATTTCTTAATTCTCAATGATTTTTCCCGTTGCATTGTGAATTTACGCGTTGAATTAAACGTGGATGTAAGGAAAACGTTGAACGGCCCATATCAGAAATCCAGTAGCCCGCTTAGGAGCCATTCAAAAACCTAGGCTAGAAATCGCAAGTCTACCATTCTACCTTAATAAAATGAATATACATTTTTTTAATGTCCCTATTCATGACAAATTTTTAGCCTTTTTATCAACGTAACGTGTTTTGTAACTCGGATGAATTACAAAAATGCCCTCAGCTGGTGGAACATCGCTGAAAACAAATCGACATATACACAAATGTAAATAGGTATTCACACCACAGAATAAGCACGTACCGCGTTATCAGTATTATTACAGTAGTTTAATGTTATAATTTCCAGTTAAGTGTATCTTGTACAAACGAGAAAAGGAGCCTTCGTTAGAGTGAAACTCTTTTCGGCTGTACGTATCTCCCACAAAGCGCTACTGGCAGCGTCAAAGACAGTGACAAGTACTGGCCGAACGCGTTAAGCTAAATTTCGCTCCCACATATTACAAGACATCGATAGTTTATTGCCAAAAACCACATTTCAACAAACTACATGAGTGTAAGAGATAACGTCACATTTAGTGCTCAAGAAATTGAACTATGGACAGGCATTAAGAATAAAAAATAAACAAATCTACTGCCCAGATTGACTGATCATAACCCTCCCTCCTTACACCGAAAGTATAGGATACAACTGGTAGTTGTATAATATAATACTGTCTCATAGATGATTTTTGAGAAGAGGTTGTGCGGGGAGAAGGGGACGTCCCCCCATAATAACAGTGGCAAAATATTTCAGCAGGTTATTCTCAGTGAGAGGTTGACATTTCCTGCTGCGTAAGAGGGAGTGTCCCTTCAATAGCAGGCGGATCAGCCCTATTAACACTGACTCGCGATGATGAAGATTTCGGAACTGTTACCGATGTAGGATCGTTGGATTTGTTGGCGGATGTGTCAGCCGTCATGATCTGATCGATGGCATCTTGTTCCCCCATGTGATTGCAATCACGATGAACTTTGTAGCGAAGCTGTCGGATCAGATATGTATGTCCTTCGGTGTTGGATGCCTGATATGTTCCGTCGAAGTCAACCGGTTCGTCAAGCGCGTTTGCTGGAAGCTTTCCCTCGGCACGCAGACGTCGAACGGCCATACGGAACGCTAGTGAGAATGTCGTGTGAAGCGGAGTTTGCTTACGAGCCGGCTGAAATCAAACGTTGTTTCTATTAAAAGGCAGATATATGTACCGTAAAAGACATGTTAAAGAACAGTTTCTAATTCTTTGAATTTGTCAAGTATGCTCGCTAAGCATATTGGTATTAATTCTCTTTTTTTTTTTATTGTCGCACAATTTAGCTATTAAATTTTACCATGTACTAAATTCAGGTCAACTTTTGCACCCGTTAACGAACTTACGGTTAAATCCCGTAGCCGAAGGGGTGTTCTACTCTTTTTGGTCTTTTTCGTCTCTTTCGTTTTCTTCGTATTTTTAATTGCCGACTGATTTTCTTTAGCACGCTTAAGTTTTTGGGCCGTAATTATTTTGTCGAGCTGAACCCACTCTTCGCTTGCCGTTCCGCTATCCCATTTGGCCCACTCAAAATCGGCGAAAAACGGGTGATTCTCTATTTCGGCATAGTCCTTTGAACACAGCCTTTCTGTATGCAGTTATCGTAAGAACAAAATTAGATTACATTTGACTACAATATTCCTTAGCCATATAATTATCTGAAACAGCATAACTTGAATTTTCTTTTTTTTTTTTTTTTTTCGTATCTAAAAAAAATATTCAAAGTGAAATAAGAAAAATTAATTAATTAATCTCGGATAAGGCCCGTATGAATATTCTGTCTACATGAGCATTCTACACCAAAAAGCCGGTTTAATATATGGTGTTAACTCACCGGCGCTCTGGAAGCACGGATAGTGTGTTCCAATTCTAGAAGCTAGCGTTATTGATATTCAGGCGCGATATTGAGGTTTAGAAATATATCGCTGCTTATGGAGTACTCCTCTCTGCCACCAATGTAAGTGATACTGTCACAGAGTTTATTTCGGTTAAGTAAACTGTAGCTGGCACGCAAAAGTTTATACATACTTTCTGGGCGTTTTTTTAGAAAGTCTTTTACGAGATCCACCATTTCTTGTGGCGGCGGGCCACTTTTTGACTTCGGCCACGTATAGGTTCCCTTGATGATTTTTTTCTGTGTCTTCTTCACGTCGTAGCCTTTCCCCAGAAACGGGTAAGTATTTGTGTGTAGGTTGTATACGGTTACACCAACTGCCCACCTATTATTCATATCGGCAACAGTTAAGCGCCTGCAAGCTTTCAATTCAATCTCTTTCAACGCATACGATCAGATAATACCTTAAGTTATACATACCGAATAGTTGTCAGTTATTTGAACGCTACTCTTAATATGCCTAATGGTTTAGACACAATAACCACGACAACGAGCGATACCAGAGGAATTCTTAGAATTTTTCAATATCCTTTTTGAGAACAGAAATTTTGACAATTTTTTCTACGACTCCTTTTACGTCCGTTAGGATTCTTCAAGATGGGCTAACCCCCTTCCTTTGTAAGTAGCATTTCGAAATAATCCTGATTAGCTGTTGTTTCCTGTTCTAGTAAAATGAATTAACGCCTACGATATGATATTTGTTTGTATAAAATACAAAGTTCGTACAATGATCTTTAGCAGTTGTTTATAGATCTTTTGCTCGACTGTAGTTAATCATAAGCTACATTGGTTAAAATTATACCAAGTGCTGTTATATTTATCTTATTTTTTTATAGGTACTCAAACCGCTATCACTACGAGGCTTATAAGCCAAAGCCAAGCGTACCTCAATAAGTTGCCACAGCACCAGATAACTACACCTTTTTCTAAACTGGCCGATGCGGGGGGGGGGGGGATCTTACCAATCAATTGTTCTCCCGAACGGTTTGCCTCGAAGGATTTCTGGCGGCATGAAGGGAATAGTTCCGATGGCCTCCTTTTCAAAAATTTCCTTCACCGTTCTTCTGTAGAAATTGTTCAGGGGGTGATTTTTGATGAACATGCCGATGCTCACTTTTGACGTATCGAAATCAATCAGCTTCACGCGGACGCCTGACGTTATCATCATATTGGCGGGCTGGCTTTGACGAATAAATACAGTTGTAAAATGTAAGCGTGGTTATCTATATAGATTGGCTTTATTACACTCATAATTCTTTATTTCTATACATTAGTAGAACTACACAGCACTGATGCTTTTTTTTTTTAATAGATATTTCAAAAAAGACCTTGGAAATTAAGCAGCCCAAAAAAAACCTTTAAGCCACTGCGCCTAAGTGGCTGTAACACCATAGAAGCTAGAGCATAGCTACACTAACACACAGTTGTTATATGTTATAACGGAAATGTTCTTGTTTTTAAATAACATTCTTTTAAATCTATTTTTATATATTTTAAATCCAAAAGAGCTGATTATTGTCCGTATGTTTATCTCACCTTAACGTCACGATGTATAAAACCTATATGATGTAAATACCGCAATCCCAGGCATAGCTGTCCTATGATAAGTTTGTTCATGTTAACTGGCAGTCCGCCAACGGCTCTGGTCACATCGCGGACCTCGACGCCGTCAATCAATTCCATGACAGTCACGTAAGCCTGCGCGGTTTCGAAACAGGCGAACTGCCGCACAAGGAGTGCGTGATTTATCATACTTCCTACAAGCTTTCCCGTACATGCGACGAACGGCGATGCAAATCGATCCTTTGCGACTAACTTAACGGTAACTGTTACAGAACGACCAAAACGAGCTCGATATACAGCGCCAAAGCCACCGACACCTTGGCACAAACGCACGCATTTTATTAGAAATAACTTCTATTTTTGAGTACAACGAACCTATTGCGCATCTTTCTAGCATTATGATGAGTAACTTGCATTGTCACTGACAGGTGCATCAGGCCTCTTGCGAGCCATCATAATAATCGTCCAGACTGACGGAGGTATCTCTTGCAGTTTAAACGGCGGTTTAAGATGCCACAAAACTGGTTGTTACTAAACATCATTAAAGCATACCAAGTAAACCCTTGCTACGAAATAAGGAGATCGGCGGGACGAATGCCATAAGGTCACCGTCAGCGCCAACGTCGATGGGGAGCGCGCAGAGCGACTCGCGAATGCCTTGCCAATCCGTCATTGAATTCGGGTCAGCGAACCCCTCGAGCCGTTTCGCTAGATCCTCCACTTTGTAGATACCCCTGACCAGTTTATTGCGGCACATCTGCATAGAGCGGTCACAATCTACAGATGAGATGAACGCAGATGTACCATGCTACCTCGTAAATAATGAGGTATGGGCTTGGACTTCGATGGAAAAGAGTACAACTGAGAAGCAATCAAAGTGAATCATACGCATGGGTTCATGTATATAATGTGTTATACATTTTATACGTGTGCTACACTGTGACAGAAAATGTTTTTACGAAATAATCAGCGTCATTTTTGTCGCTGTTGTTGCTACTGCTGCTGTTTCGCACGCATGTTAGCAAAGAATGTTTGGGCTAGTTAAATAGGTAGTGACGTTACTTACGAGGGCAGCTTTGAACGCTTTGATTACGAACAGATGTTCCAGTAGCCCGAATAGATTTTCGATCGTCTCTCGAATATCCTCCAGCTTTAGCCGTTCTTTCCGCAAGAGGTCGCCGACCTCTTTCAGCGAAAGCGTCACTTGTTCGCGGACATACTGTTCCTGAGGTTCAAGCTGTGGGTCCAAGTATTTTTTCCCTTTGGTGTATTCCTCAAGACCTATTAGGGCCACTCGTATGACGCTAGACGATGCACATAGGAATGATGAAATCGCGTAATTGGAAAATAGTCAATGATACATGACTAGCCAACATTAGTCCATGCATTATTGTGTTACGATGCTAATATCATGCTTAGTTGGGACATTTTTTTTTAATCAAATGGCGCGTTTTTTTCTTATTAAAACGCTGAAACAGATGATTGCATTAAACTTTCTTTCGGATTATCCAAAGCCAAAGTACCAGAAACACCGACAAAATATGTTAGTACTTGGTATATGGTATACGGTACTAACTTAGGGCAAGCTTTGCGAAGTTCCTTGTACACATCCGCCGATGTTCCCTGTGTGACGTTGTTGGAGACATATGTCCAGTCGGAAGCGGGCACTGTAAAGCAATTTCATTAATTCATTACCTACATCTTTGGTGAAGGATAATTAGTATGGAACACTTGGGCATAAAATGTAAATACGTTAGCAGCAGAAAGAGAATTGAGGTTACTCAAATATGCTACAGATTACATTCTGTTACTGAAACCCAATTCCTAAACAGAAGTACGAACTTCTAGAGAAGAAAACTATATTGATACGCAGTACGAAGACCGTCATATGGTGTCGCCATGAAGTTACAACGTACACGCGGCCGAACAGCTGTTTTGTGCGTAGTTTGCACCAAGTTGCATGTGGTACCACGTTCGTTATAACATCGACAAACAGATGATGAAATACTAAGACATCTAAGCACGTGTTCAAAAACAAATAAATCATCAAAATGAATTAAAGGTATCTCTAGGTCCGTTAAGGTCGTTTTAGGCTATCGGAAATAGTTGAACGAGGGCGTTAAGGAAAATTCGTTTTTACTTAAATCAACTCTAACGTCAACGTTTAACGGCTCCGAGGGTTGTATCGAAAATAATTTGTGCAATAGATGTAATTAGATATGACGTTAGACGTTTTTAAGGTAGGCGTTAAGAATACCAAATGCTTTCGCTTTTCTTTGACCAAATTCGATTTACTTGTGCCATTTCTAATTACAATCTACTTATTTCTACTATTGTATAACATGCGTCCGGACCCCCTAGAGAGATTTTGCGTGGATGTACTACGCAAACGAAAAAATGAAACCAGCTATAACTTACACACCATTGAATAAGGCATAACAAATCAAACATCAGCTCGTGATTGGAGAATCTGAAAATCGCTTTCAAAATTCTATAGGCTACAGTAATTAACTAGATCTGACCAAACTCTGTCATGACAGTCGCAGGCAACTGAAGCCTTAACTTACTCGAGATCTAAAACCGATGATGGTTCAGGAATGTTTGAAGGTCCAACATAAAACATCATACTAAAATATGGTTCTCATAGCACTTCGGCTTCCTGATTATCAATAAACAGGTTTACACTATCAGCGAGTGTAGAAATGAGCCTATCGGTAGAACAAGAAGACAGAATGCAAACCCAGAAGGGAATATTCTGGGGCGTCTAACGAGGCATCTTGAACAGCATCTAATGAGGCAATTTCCTTGGTGAATCTAGTTCATTACCTGCTCTGTTGACTCGTTTTATACCGGAAAAAAGTTATAGTTTGTTAGTTCAACAAAAGGAAAGTTCATTATTAACATTCTCACCGTTTACTACTAGCTGCCTTCAAGACTGAATCGATGCTAGACAAATAACCCGTTGAATCGAACAACAATTAATCGTATAGAGTTTCGTACCGTAATCGTATTAAGCAAAAAATATATAGAACTGTCTCAGAAACTATGCTTTGAGCTTCAACCTACCAAATGCAGTTACACACGTACGAACAGCAAACAATAATCAATATAAGAAAAAGACTTTTTGTAAAAAAACACGCTAATCTTTTTACAATTGGGAATGTATCGTGGTCAGATACGCTGTGATGCGAGTGACACAGTTTATGTGGCACGCAGATCATTTCCTATAAGATTGTTTATATCTGTCGACAGACGCAACATGAGTCTAAATCGTCACAAAGGCCGAACACCAACACCACGGCAATCACAAGCCACGGAAGTGTCTACCAGTCCATACCAAATGTTCCCGCGTAATCGATGTCACGTTTTCGTCTCGTTCGGTCCGTGCGACGAGAAGGCTCAGCCCCTTGCGACGACGTTCGCTCCTGGACCTTTTTGTCCATATTGAATATATTCCTCTATTGTCACTTAACAATCCAACGAATGATTTGTGGCAGACGCGTTGCTTGTTTTGAAACATTACGCCACCTGTCGGTACTTCGAATCAATTCTAATTCCAGGAGGCTAACGAAGCGCAAAGTTGTTTCCGAGAGAGGGGGATATGACAACGACGGCGAATAGCCTCAGGGTCTAACAGTGGTGAAGCGGAAACCATTTTGGAAAAATTATACAGTCGCTTTATAAATACATAGACATGTCCACGCAAAAACTCGCTAGAGCACATGTAACCGCAATGTTTATGCTTCGTGTGAATCCATGACCGACAGTGAAAACAGCGCAGGCGTCTTTCGATTCCAGAATTTGCAGATGCATACTTGAGATAATAAAAACTGATATAGCGGTATATAAGTAATGTAATAAATCGGACTGCTCCGATATTCATCACCAGGCCACATTGATTCAGAAAGCAACACCCGAATTTTTGTTAAATAAAAATTTATCTTGTTTCAATAGCAACGCATCACGGATTTAATGTTTTTTTTTTTTATATAAATAAAAAGATCACAAAAATATGACACGATAATTTTACCGTGACCCAATAAACATATTCAACTTGACCGTTTGGCAGATTCCCACCTATAGAATAGTACACATAATCTACGCAAATCTGTAACGAGTAAGCTCAAAAAAAGCTATATTTCGAGATGTTTTGGCTTTGCTATTAACTTTCGTTCCGTTTGGTGCCCTTTGAAGGATTGGCTTTTCTAACTATTTTAAATTTTCCGTGATTCATGACATGTTATACGGCAAAAAGCACATTTCGATGAAAACTTCCAAGTCGTAATTGAAGTTTTCTCTGTAGACGTACCCACACAGTAAATGCATGATCAGATTCCCTAGTCATCAATAGCTTTGGTAACAAAAGAGTAAGAAAAGGTGTAAAAGAGAGACAGGGTACGCCGGGCACAAAGAGTTCCACCTTGAGTCTCTCAATGCCTATTATTACAAAAGAACCTTCGAGCATAATTTGCTCATCATACCGAATTATATTCGAAGTATTTAAATGAAATATGGCGACATACATGTGTATGTCATTATCCACGTGAGCTTTCAACTTAAAAAAAAAGATGAAGATAACTGTAGGATGTATGTCTTGTTAAGAGTGTGGATAGATTAGCTAGGCATCTAATTTTCGAGGCATTTCTTGAATAATCAATTCCGAAGTAACATGTCTTAACAGACTCGATTTTTTTAACAGTCAACTCAACGAATTACATTACACGCGATCGTAAAGGATAATGAAATGTCGTTTCGTGCACTGACAGCCCTAACACCTAAGCCCTGTTTCACCCATGGTCCTTGTATCTTTTTCCCATATAGCTATCCATATTTCCGGTACCGAGAAGGTTCAAAACGATCGTTTTGGATAATTTAGTGCCCCCTAGGGTTCTGGGATGTATCACACACTAGTGTACTTCCATTAGAGTTATACGGAAACGCGATACAAATACTTCACACGACAAGGTAAAGAAGCGCCAAAATTAGGAGAAGTATGTTGCTTCTGAAGGGATTTGAAAAAATATAGGCTAAATGTATGTGTAAAACGCTTTCAAGCAGTATGCATTTTTTAGGAGTAGCTCATAGGATAAGCGACCGAAAGCCTCATGTGACTCTGTACACACCGATCAGTCATAATGTCTATTTAGCATCACACTACAGGCCCTCGACTTTCAAAGCTCCGAGGAGGTATAGCATCTACCTAATAATCGACATCCACAATCCAGGTATCCGTAACTCGCTAGTCAGACCCTCAACATCCTCAATACATTCAGCGGGTGCATTATATATCTGGTTTCGTATAGGTTTCTGCGAAATAATTACCAAGAAGGGAAACTTGTGTACAAAACCACTGCGGAGTCAAAGAGGAATGCCACAAAAAAAAAAAGTGAAAAAAAAAATATCGTAATAACGCCCGACTACGGTCAATTAAAAGCTGCATTGTGATCGGCTTCTGGCACCATCATCGTCTGCTAACCTACTGTTTTTGAGCGGAAGTTCACAGAATTGGAACGTCTGCTATGTATTTTACAAAGGTCTCAGAGTGAGTGACCTCCAGCAAAGTCTCCTTTTTCTGGAAAATGAAGGGCCAAAGCGCGTATAATATGTTCTCTGTTGAGAACGAACTCGAACGAAGTTGTGCAAACGGTGTGAAATAATTTTCGAAGACCAGGCTTTGCCCGTGAATTGGTACCGAAGGATTTACAACAGATGAGACCCTTGAAAACAAGATCAGTTTTGAGTTAATCCGTCACAGTGCGTAGAGGCGGAACGTGGAAAAAGAAAATTTCTCGTGGTGGAGGATCGCCGGACCACATTCAGAGGACTTGTAAACAAACTAGATATCTTCCGAAGTCACGTTGAATCGCATTGAAGGAAGGTTTGGAGGCGAAGTATTTCGTAGCAGTGATTATGTCAAAGGATCTGCATTTCGATATTCGCCGGGCGCGCCCGACCACTGTCCCGTAAGAATTCAAAAAAGAGCCCGGTCGGCTCTGGTGCGTCATTACAACTAATGAGTCATGTCAGAAGCAGGTTAAAAACTGAGCTGATTTTCATCGTATTTTTCGACTACTGGCAAGTTTTATCTTTTGGATTCATATTTAATTAATTCATTTTACTAGAGAGTATTATCAAATAGTTCTAAGTTTAATATTTAATGCTTCTCGCTAAAATAAGCCTGAACTCGTAGGCCCTATTCCGCGATGATGCGCCTTCCCACAGGACGCTACTTTTTGCTAACTATGCTTGTATTCGCTAGATTAAGCGCTCCGTGACTAATTCCTTTTCGCAATTCTCAAAATACGTTTCGAAGAAAAAAGTGGATTGGAAATGTAATTGAATAAAGTTCAAGTTGACGATTTAGTTTGGATACTGATCGAATGGCTATGAAAAAACTGTCGCATACGTACATTGAGCTCGCCCGAAATTACTAAAAGACAGATGGAATTGGGATAGTTTAGGCACATACGGAGCCTAAAAGCTATGCATAGCGGAGTCTCAATGAACGTGTTTTTGCCAGGCTACTGACCAGAAACCTTGGTTGGTCAGGGGGCGATTGTGCAAAATTTACTTAAATCATACGCCAATGAACGAGTTAAAAGTCATTACGAATTAAGACGATGTCAGCTTTGTAACTAACAATGCACGTTAGAAAACTTTCGCTCAT